GCATGTACTAGAACTATAAATAGACACTGGGATGAGATAGGTCAACACTGCAACATATCTCTAGAATCTTTCACCAACATTATAACATTCCTCTTTCATAATAATTACTTCTCTTTCAACAGCAAAATATATTCTCAGACACATGGTTGTCCTATGGGATCTGTTCTATCACCAACATTGGCAGAATATGTCATGGATGATCTACTTGATACTGTTATTCCGACACTACCCTTATTTTATGTCTCCCCTCCAGAGGTCTGGATGGTATTGTCGGGGAATTCAACAGCTATGACCTCTACATCCAATTTACCATTGAAAAAGGAGATAAGAACCTGTCTGTCCCCTTTCTAGACACAAGACTTATCCGCATAAACAACAATAGTTTATTGGTAGACTGGTTCCGAAACCCATGGCCTCAGGAAGGTTCCTCAATTTTAGGTCATACCATAAACTAAGGATTAAAATCAACTTGGTGAAACAGATGAAAATAACGGTAGTCATCAACTCAGATAATACTTTCCGTACTTCAAATTTACGGAAGCTATCAAAACTGTTCTTTAACAATGGTTATCCGAAGTGTCTGATTAACAATAACTTGTTCAGCTCTCCTCCCAGTATTTTACCAAACTCTAATGATACAAGCAATAGTCTCACAACTCCTAATAACAGAATAACAGAACTGATGGAATTCCCAACAACAATACCAATTCAAACAATACAACCACCATCCCAAGTTCCAGATCTGGTTTTGCTGTCCTGCCCTATATCAAGGAACTGACCCCTAAGCTGATCAGATTATGCAGTCCGTTGAACTGTCGAATTGCTTACAAATCCGTCCTCACTATAAACTGCATTTTTTCAAACATCAAATACAGAGTCCCGCTGCTTGGCTTAACCAACACAGTCTACTCTATTAATTGCAACAATTGCAACCAAATATACATAGATCAGACCTCCAGATATCTAAAAGGAAGGATTACAGCACACAAAAGTGATTCTAGGCTTCATCCCGAGAGATGTGCTCTGGCATCTCATGTCAACACAACAGGGCACTCTATGAACTACACAAGTATCAAAGTTCTTGATAAAGAAAAACACCTATCCAAACGTTTATTCCTGTAAATGTCCCATATTTTCATGAATGACAACTGTATCAATAAGAAGACAGATGTTAAGCAACTGAGCGTCCTTTACTCATATATGCTAAACTGCGAAAAATTGGAGCACTAACACATCTCTCCAAATTTTGACTTTTCACAACCATAAATGAAATCTGTTTTTTGGTCTATTCCACCAAAAGAATTCCATTCCATTCAAATTTGAATAATTGTTTTCTCATAATTAAATAATAACTGTTAATTCAATTGCCCATCTGTCCGAAGGTTCATCTTACTCATGATTCTATGCCCACCATTTTGTGCAATCATCAAGTGGCTTCACGATCTAATGCTTAACTTTCGTTTTAAATATTTTTGATCTGTTTTTAATTTGTTCTTGTCATACAGCTGTGTGTAGCTTGTATAATTTTGACTATTGTACCATGTACCCAGCTTTCACCATGTTACTGGGTGTTTCCCTCATCCTTAACGTAAATAACATTTAGCAACATCCTCACATACTACTGTAGGTTAATTTAAATTCATTTTACACAATTGTTGCTACTTTTGTCAATGTAATTACAACTCCTGATGATGATGGCAAAGACCATTGAAAGCTAGAGAGAAATTTTGTACCCAACAAAAGGCGGAAGCCTTAATTTTTCACCTAACGACAATGACCACGTCTCAATTTATATATATATATATATATATACATTGTGGCCCATCCATGTCTGGACGGAATATTACTTATAAACAAATATATTTTCCCAAAATGTATAATGTTATACATGACATTTGAGGGCACATTTCTCAAAATATTGGCAATTATACACGGTGTCCTAATTTTTACCTACATATCAAAGTTGTGATTTTTTAAATCGAATGCCTCAAATTTTATTGCATATTTGGATAATGTGAATAATTCAAAAGAAGAAGATTGATATAACATAATATGGGGTTTTAGTAATTAGCTACTGAGATGTAAGGTGTTTTGTCCAGAAAAACCGTCCACTCAATCCGCCATTTTGAAATTTGGAGTGCTGAATTTTGTATCAAAAAAAACTTAAACCCCTCAGCTTTTATCTTATTTGTTACTTTTTCAAGTTTTCATTTTTGCTCATACAGGGTGGTCAAAAACGCGAATTGTACTTTTTCTCAAAAATTTCAAATGCCAAATCCTCCTTGATTAAATTTTGTCGAAGTACCCAACAAAAGGCGGAAGCTTTAATTTTTCACCTATATATATGACAATATATACAGCAACGGAAATGAATTTTCGTAATGTAGAAGTTACAAAGTGCCCAAAAAAACTAAAAATCATTGAGTTCAAAAACGTTCGCAACCACGATACTTCCATCACTTCAGAAATTACTGAAAAGGTGCAATAATCAGTAGTCGTGGTCAGTTTTTGTGATATTGTGTCTAAAAATGCATTATTATCCATGCGTATATCACAGTAAATAACATTTTCATTACTTTTTTTATTAATCAAGTGGGATTTTTCATTGTATAATCAAGAACTCGTTAAGATGTAACGGATGTGAAATCGAAAAGCAACTTTTTAAAATTAATATTATACGTATGAGAAATTAACCTAAGACATACATAAACAGATTTCCCAAGTTTTTGGCTGATTCATTGACCTGCTCATTGGAATCACCATATTCTACTAATGTAACATCTGAGGAACCTACCCTGTAACTGTCTTGCTCAACAGCCTCCATGATTTAAGTTTAAACTACTTTTGATATAGTTAATATAGATAAAAAAGTAATAACTGAAAAGTTTAACTTAGATTTAAATTCAGATTTTGATTCAGCGGGCTTAGAATAAAGTCTTACTGATATAAAAAGGGAGGTCAAGTTAGCAAGCCGAGAATTGAATTAATGGAATCGGTGCATGAATACTACCTTTTAGTGTTCAAGTGGCAGGGGGCATCGGGAAATCCCAGTGCATCTCCTGTGTCAAGGCCTGGCAAGGTTAGGTTTCAGGTAGTAGGAGCTACAGGTGCAACGGCGGAAAGCTACATATAAGGCCCTGTGTCAAGACTTTGGAGTCTGATTAAAGGATCAAGACTGGACCGAGTACCTCAGAAAGTTTATATGGGGGGTCACAATAGATACATTTGGGTCGCAGTGACGTTAATTAAGGCTAGCAAGCAATCTGTAATTTGAAAAGTGGTAGTTGGAAATTTCATGGTGGTGGCTGGGTCCCATTTTGCAACATTTTTTAAAAAGAATCGGGGTCATGTGATACTTCATTTTGAAGCTCGTAATGAGTACTTCATACCCTTGAAGATAAAATCACCATCTTTGATAATGGCGAATTGGCAGGCTGTCACAGCTATACATTCAGTCGCTTGTAACTCAACAACTAATCATCAAAACGCTATAGTATGTTATGTCACTCTTCCTCCCTTATAAGGGTCTGTCGGAATGTGTAGTAAAAAATGAAACATTCCATTTGGAAAAGTTGACAGAACCTGTCAAAGTTCACAGGAATAAATTGTATAATTATATTGTTTATGCTTATAGCTGTATTACTTTTGCAAAACAGTATTAGATTCTGAGATTGTTATTAGACTTTTTTATAAAGTTCTAAAAATCTTTGCAATCTGCTGGATAAGTTCAGAATAGAAATTCTATGTTATGTTGAAAATACAATCTTTTATTCCCCCGCCAGTTTAGCGATTAGTAAATGCAGTGAGTAGTAATCAAACAGTTGTTCTGGAAAATTTTCATTACCCGTAATACATGTTTTAATTACTCTAGGAAACTAAACTATTCGGTTTAATTAAACTAAATTTTCTGGAACCAGATTAATTGAAAGTAATAGACTATTAAACAAATTTTTGAAAATAGCAAACCATGTATCTCTTTTATTAAACTGTTCAACTAGATCAAGTAATTTAGTTTATGTAGAAAAGGTACATTTAAAACAAACATTTCGATAAGAACAGTTGACTGTTTATTTGAATCGCGGATTCGGCTGGACTCGGACCTTTCGTAAATGATCCGTAAAATGTGACAAACGCCGTACCGGTGACGGAAGTGATGCAGAGTACTCGTATAGTATTTGAAGATATCCTATCCTAGTTTATTTAAAGTGCTGTCAAATTTATTTATATATGTAAACGCGTTGAATGCAATACTGTATTATTAGAAATAAAAGTACAATTTTTGTACACATGGTCAAGTGGCCTTATTCATTTTTAGAAATCCATTTCCCTATTTTCTGAATTTAAAACAAAGAATCGTTTCTACTTGATGGTGATATATTATAACCTATTTCTGGACAAACTGACAAATCGTTGCTAAGACTTGATGTTATATACGAGTACAATAAGTTCACAATCAGTAAAAATAAAAAATATCGAATTTTGTTAGTGTTATAAAATTTGGAATCTTTTATTTTGATTTGTAAACATCAACCATCGATAATTATAATATACGCCATTTAATTTGTTTTTTGAATTCCATATTTTCAAATATTCTTTTAAATCTAAATAAAGTAAGTTGAAGTTAGACAAACACTTTTACCTAAACTCATTAACACAATTTAATAAATTTAATTAAATTGTTTTACTTTGATCCGCTGAACTCATTTTAACAGTTTATTAATTTTGAATAAATTGGTGCAATCAATCTAAGTAAACAGTTCAATAAGTTTAATCTAACGATTACGTTTTTGTTTAATTAAACAAGTTTCGTAGATTCAAGTAAACTGTGTTAGAAATTGGGGTTAAACTAATTAAGCATGTTAGCAGTCACAGTTAAATTTTTTAATTGGCCTAATTAAAATTTTAATTGGTTTGATTTTTTTATCGGTGTGTATTAATCAATTTACGTAGAAAACGATTGTACCTAACATTTTTTCAACAGTCATTCAACATACACTTACAAAGAAAATCCACAGACTGCCCATATCGCAGACAACACCACCACTGACCGCACCACTAATTGCACACTGTAGCTCTGGTAGTCCAGTCCGGAAGCGCTGCTCTATCTGCGGTACGACCTCGCCGAAGTAATGTCGCGTATAGTACCACCGAGGATTTGCATTAGAGATTGCGATTGCCAAAATATTGTAGGGACGACGTCCTCGAACATCGCATGGTATGTATGAATGTCAAATGCGTGCCGCGTCTGGGTACCCCGCGTTTGGCGTTGGTGGTAGTACGAAACCGTCGCGGCTTCAGTGCGGTAAATGCCGTGCACGGTGGGGGCCTCACTCGGTATTGCTTACACCGGAAATGCCGGCTGTCGGTGAATTGGATTATTACTCCAGATGGATTACGACTAAAAAGGCTCGTAGGTGAATGTTTTCAGAAGTAGCTGAAGTTTCTAGTCAAGGTTTTACAAGAACGTCTTGTATAAGAAGAATATCGATATGAATCAGTCCTTTTCTCACTTCTCCTCGGTGATTTCAATACCCATATTAAGCTCTGGTTCGGCTCAGATAAGACCGATGCAGCAGGTCGGGTTGTTGGAGCGTGCGCTATCACCCAATGACTGACCCAGCCTACTGTTTCCCCCCCACTTCGTCACAAGCCAGTAGTCTGCTGGATCTCTTTCTGACCACGCATCCCGTCCCTTACAGCATTGCTGCTCTGTCTCCCATGGGTAACTCAGACCACGGTGTTGTGGAGGGCAGATTTCATTCGGCTGTGCCACTAGAACCTCGTTCAAGATATCCATCGTAATGCGTGTTCTCCTCTTCATCCCACAATGCTAACGCGAGTGTTCCCCAGGGTTCGGTAGTGGCTCAGACATTGTTTCTCTTACATATCAATGACCTCCTTTTCTGTACGATCAATCCGATCCACAGCTTTGCTGATGACAGCACTCTATTTGCAGGAATTCAAAGTGACAAACCGATTTCTGTCGGTGAGCTGGAGAAAAGAAGACTGGTAGCGACGTCCTCTCTGACAAACAACGCGGAGGTTATCACTGTTTGGGGACGCAACAATTTGATACAGTCTAAATCTTCCAAAACCCCTTCCGAAATATCAAGAGCAATGAGGTGGGTATCTTCACATGGCTGGCTCATTCCACTTTGTGATGAAATTTAGGAGGTCTTCAATTGATCTTTGGTAACAGACGCTGGCCAAGCAGATTGAAAGGAACTTCTCCCACGACTTACGTGTCAGAATGGAACGTTTGTAAACGACTCACAGGCCAAAGCGGCAGTGCTTGCCAAGATCATTGCTGCCAGCTCCATTATGGACATCCCCCATAATGCTCGAGTGCCGTCGATTCAAAGGGTTCCATACAATATGGGAGTTACATGCACGCATAAGACCGTAAGATGGGTGCTCTTGTCGAACGTCACGGCTTGATAAGCTTCAGACAGTATGGTTTGCGGCACCATCGATTTTCAGGGGAACAAGCTTACGCCACACACTGTGGTGAGGCTCGTGGCGTTGCTCTTGATATCACGAAAGCGTTCGATCAGCTGTGGCACGCTGTCCTCTTATGCAAACTTACATTCTCTGGCCTCGTAGAGAAGCTTTGCAGATGGGTGGCTGACTCTCTCTGGCCGCAAGATATCCGTCGTAATTGACAGGTTCTCCTCTTCATCCCACAACGTCAACGCGGGTGTTACCCAGGGTTCGGTGTTGGCTCCGTTCCTCTTACATATCACCGACCTCCTTTCCTGTACGATTAACTCAAAGTACAGCTTTGCTGATGACAGCACTCTACATGATCTAGGATCTCTGCCGATGAGCTGGAAAAAAGAAAACTAGCAGCCACTTCTTCTCTGACGAGAGACCTGGAGGTTATCACTGTTTGGGGATGCAACGACCTTGTAAAGTCTAGTGCTTCGAAAACACAGTACTGTACCACTGACGAACAAAAAGCGTCCTAGCGCCCATCTGGTTTTAATGGATGGCCGAGTTCTGTCAAAGAGACGTTCATTTCTGCTGATCGGAGTCCAGATCACCGAAGACTTGATCTGGCACAAATACATCTAGTCAACAACGGTAGTTGCTGGGAAAAAGTTAAGCTATTTGTTTAGGGCTAAGAAGTACTGTCCTCCTGCATGACCCCTCACTCTATGCAAAGCCCAGATAAGACTTAGCCTCAAGTATTGCTCACACGTTTGGGGTGCTGTCGCCCCGTCTACATTATTTATGCTCAATACTATCCAGAGGAGGGCTGTCCGACTGATCGGTGACTCTTCTCCAACAGACAGTCTCGGGACGCATTCGTATCGGCGGACCGTCTGCGATCTAGCTCCCTTCTACCGCTACATCAACGGACTTTTCCAGGCAGACCCGCCTGACTTCGGCCTCCAATATTAACCGTGTCGGACATCGTACATCCAGGCCATTTTGGCTTCCACCTGTGCTGCTGATTCAGTGTAAAAAAAGAAGGGCCTCTTTTTCACATGTTTTTTTTCAGTTCCTGTTCATTCGAAACAATCTTTTCTGTATACCCAAGGAGCATTTGTGTATCGAGAACTTTCAATCTGAGTGTAGGTTAATTTGAAAATAGAAAAATAGACTTGAGAAATATACTAGTTTTTACTTATCACTTGTTACAAGTTTATCATCATCGGTTTTATACGGTCCAAATCTGACCTTATACCACCTCATCATATTCTAAGCCTACCAGGTGATGGTTTGAATAAATTAATATAATCGATCTCCAATTTTAGTACAACTTCTTATTTCCGTTAATTGTGTAACTTAAAGTGGCATTACCCGGTAGATTGAAACGAATATCAAATTTTTCCAATTTGTCATATTTCTTCATTTCTATTCAGGCTCGTGCCTGTTATAATAAATAAACGAAAGTGCATTGTAAATGAGTGAAAGTGTTAGATGTTGCTGGTCTCATCAAACAATACTGACCCACAAAACGGCGGTCATTCGATGTAATAAGTTGAAATACATTCGCTTGTGTGGTCTCGGATCAATCGGATGTTTGACTAGGGAGATATTTGTAAATTCTGATGATTGACTCATTTTGGGCAATTATAGATTACACCTATTTATATATTATCCTTCATTAGCTCTTGTAGGGAGATATATCTTTCAGGTCATCTCTTAAACCAATGCAAGACCAAATGCTTTGTACCTGACTCTGGTAATCGCGGGGCATCTGCATGCTTAACCGTTTTGTCTCGCTTCATTAACAGTCGGCAGGGTGACTATGTTAAAAACACCTATATAATGTCAACCGATAAAATGTCAACTTGTTAATTAAGAAGGCTAGAATGCAAATAATTCATTTCGCGCTTGATACAAGTGAGCATCAAGTGAACGACAGTTAGTTCCAAGTCTCAATTTTTTGACACCATTTTTTATATTATATCAACATTTTTTGTCTAATGGCTAAAAACTTAGTGTCCCTTTCAAATATAGTCTAATATATACCCCTGTTTAATAATGAAATCTTGATTTATGATTGACAGTTTTTACTAAGGCTCCGGTTTTGGCACCTATTTTTCAAATCAGAATTATGCAGGGTTTTTGAGAATAATTTGTCTAATAACAATTTCCAACTACAACTTAGAGTGAAAATTTAATACGAACTGATGGCGTCATATTTATTCTTTCTGTGCATATAAACATGGTGTCTTGAGCCCTGAAGATGCGTTGTAGACGATCAACTAGATACAGTCAGTTTTCCCCAACAAAAATATTGAAGATGCAAGCACTATTATATAATTTGAGTGCCCTGGGAAATAATAAACCATTTTCTGGGTCATACCTCTTGAGACGTATCCGCAATGGATGTGGCAGGTGAATGGGACAAAATAAATAATGCTCTTCTTAGAAGCGGCATCTCTAACAATAAAAAAGAAATTACTTAATTTAGATTCGATCGACGTGTTTCATGTTTCTCTACTTTACGCAAGGAGAGACGGAGTCAGTGAAGTATACGAGAATTATCATTTGGGGGATCTCTCTCTTAGTGTTTGTAAGAAAAACAATAGTCGAGTATTGTGTAATATGACTTTATTTCATCCTTATATTAACGACACAGATAAAATAATCTTGAAATTCTTGTTAACAGAATCTGTAGATCAACTGCAGAGGAGAATGTTCAAAAACGGACCAATTCGTTTATTGCTTTAAAAAAAATATGGAAAATAGCTAAAAGTATCTTTTGAATGCATACATCGTACCCTATAATGCTAAGCATCATGCACCTTATACTTTCTTAAGTTGTCGAAAATTTATATCAAGCCATTAATTTCCTTACATGCATCTCATTTAAAAATATGTGATAAAACAAGAGACTTATTAAGAATTATTGTCAGTCATCAACTAAAATTTAATTCTTAAGCAAGGATACAGAATACATCTATAAAAAACAGATTAATGACAAACATCTCACTTTGTCTGTTCTTTTTTCCATCTTCTGATTCCGAATAGGATGAATAGTCTTTATTCATTCCAGATCGACCTTTGTGAGCCTGAAATAGGATGTCAAACGGATATTGGCGTTTACAGATAAAATTTTAAGTATCTAAACAGACATATTTCATGAGAAACACGGACATCGCATCTTGGCATTTAATAAAAGGTACAAATGCTGAATAGGTTTAGGGCATACTTCTCTCCTTCATCTTTTTTGTTCCGGTGTCTTATTCTCATGTTCAGAGGAAAATAGATACTATATTATGATCAGGAATTTTGAAAAACGGACAAATCTTGGAACAGAATTTTGAACCAGTTAACCTCAACCAATAGAATTGAATTAACTGCCGTCATTTTGAATTCAAATCCAGATGCTACAAAATAGCGATTCATTATTAAGAATTTAATTATTAATCCCTGTGACATGGGTATCAAATGAAAGGGTTTGATAAGAAAAACACAATAAGCAAAGAGGGTATCAAATGAAAGCGCCCGATGAAGCAAACTTAATAGGCAAAGTGACGTCATTCTAGATCCAATATGACGGCTGAATGGCGATTTATAATTTCCAATGACATAATGAGAGAAACAAAATAAGCAAATAATGTCATTATAAATTCCCTATGTCGATCACCGCAAAATAGTGATTTATCGTTATATGATTTACCATATATCAATGGACATTTTATAATACAAATAAAGGAAGAAGTTTCATAAACAAAATATATAAAAATTATGTAGAAATTACCAAATTAGTTTTTCGACACTTACAACAAGTAAGAAATACGTAAAATAACAATACCTTTTTGAAAACAAGCTTTGGAACAGGGTGTAACACCAATAAACAACACAGTAAAGCTTGAGATGAGGAGGCTTCTTTATTTAAATATCTCCAATCCGGAAAAAAATTAAATTGTTAGTTCATTTCATGAACAGCTAAATACAACCTTATTTTATAAAATGTTTTTTTTATTTAATTTATATCTCTTCATTTATCTTTGCAAAACAGGCTTTGTTGGTAACGCCATTGGTATATACCTACGAAATGAAGCTATTACTGCTCGATAATTGTTCA